TTTATGGCGAATAAATTTGGATGATGTTTCCGTTAATGGTAAACCTTTTGGTTTTAAAGGAAGAAATGCTATAATAGACACTGGAGCTTCTCTTATAATTATACCACCAAATGATGCTGAAATTATTCATCAAAAAATTCCAGGAGCGACTAAGCTTCAAGGTAAATTTGTTGTACCCTGTAATACAACTACTGATATAGCATTTACTTTAGGTGGCGTTAATCATAATATTGATCCAAGGGATCTAGCCTTTCGACCTACCGATCAAAATGGACTCTGTTCTTCTGGAATTGCTGCTGAAAATATTGCTGGGAATTTGACTTGGATTGTTGGTGATGTATTTTTAAAGAATGTTTATTCTGTCTATAACATAAAAGATCTTACTGTTGGATTTGCTAAAAGCAAAAACTTTAGTTAATACTTTTTCTATATTAATGTAATTTAAAAAGTTCTTATAGCAACAACTTTGGTTTATCCGTTATTTATTTAATTTAACGTTAATTATTCCATTAAACAACCATTATCGTTATCTGTGATGTGTTTGCCGTATTGCATTTATTTATAGTATTAGTTTTAATTATCCCTTCGTCTATACCAGTACGATCACGTTTCTTGTGTAACATGAAATGTGTAGGGATGGTTTCCTTCAACTTTTTTGATGTCGCTTATCCTGTTTTTTTGCAAAATACTTTTTTAGTAGAAGTAATGAATTTCATTTATCCGTTTTTGGAAGGAGTTAAAATTTTTACTTACCGTATATGTAAAATATATAATTTCATATGCAAATCGCTACTATGATGCAAAGCTGGTGTCACTGATTATTAATTTCGAAATTCATCACTATGATTCAACTGGCGTTAATGATATTAATTTAAAATTTTATATGACGTAAATCTATGTTGTTAATTGAATTTTATATTCAATTTTTTTTTAAAATTTGCATTTTCGTTGGGTTTTGTTGATTTATTTATGAACATGATTTTGTCTTTCAAAACGCAGGTATTTTCTGGTAAATGTTGTGATTCCATAGGAAGGCATTCATATGATTGGCTGTTTAAGTCTATTTAATTTTACATTATTTATACAGTTTAAAGACTTTTTAAACTACGAAGAATAAAGAAGTAAATAAAAAGTTTTACTAAGGTTGTAGGAC